TATCTTACTGATGGTCTTTTACATCTTCCAACCATCTTCCCGGTTTAGAATCCGGTGATCTAGGTCTCCAGATGGTTACTCGCCAGCTGTTCTTCTTCTACTGAACCTATCGATAGCTGCGTCATCTGGTTATCAATTCTACATCCTTCATCCTTCATCCTTTTCAGCATTTAGACTTTTCTATCTGACACCTTGTCTCAATAATTCGATGCTTAGATTTCGAATTTCGCAAAATGAGTTACTATTCCGAGTATTCCTATACCTTCGCGAGATTTCTTTCTTATTTGCTTTCTCTCCTATGTCAATTCTCATTTCTAATATATTTTTCTCATCTTTGCGCTGCAGTTTTAAGCCTTTCAACACACTTATGACCTGATCGTATACGGTAATAAGTGGGCGTGGCTTGCAGGTGTTGGCCTTCTGTTGGTTACTTTTGGCTACTTCAGTGGCTGCAGCTACTGCGGGTAATTTCGCAAAGCATTGGAAATGATGTTATTGAGATAGCTGGTGGACTATGGAAGGGGTTAGACTGCCAGACTTCTGATGTTGGAACCCCGAAATGTGGGCATGGTCAGGTGAAAGCAGAGTAGAGAAAGAAGGAGGAGCAGAGTCCAGAGACAAGGAACGGCAGAAGAGTAGAAGCATAGGCAACGTCGAAAGCGGTCCATGAGCAGATCGACCTTTCCATCTTTCTAAAGTCTTCTAATACTTGAGTTCCTGTCTTTTAAGACTTACTTCTTCAATGTATGATCATCTTGCCTGTCAATGTTCTCTGCTCTGCATTTTCATTTCATTTTTCGTCTTTTCTTCATTAAGCTTACTTTACTTCATTTTATTTCTCCTATCCTCCTATCAAAAGACTAAAATCATAGAATATGCATAGACGGACTAAAGACAGACATTTTCACGAATATCCGGATATGGACATATAGATATATCTATTTGCCCTATATGTCTTGTTGAATGTTGAAACATTGAACGTTTTTTGTTATCTTACCTGTGTTGTTCTTGTTCATCACGTGCAATGCTCTCAAGACAACTGAGATAATCTAGCAGTTACCCATGCAGGGGATTCTCTTGCCTTCACTTTGGCCATGGAAATCCGTACGGATCTTTTGCCTCAGGCTATTCTTCGTGAAAGGCAAATCTTTGTGAGAGCTTGTTCAAGGTTTGCAGATTTGCTTCTTCTTGTCCTTTTTATTAAATTCTTTATAACTAATGTCTTTTTAACACATTCTGTCTCCGTTTTTCTCTCCTATTCCTTACTTTTGCGACTGACCATGAAGAACAAAAAAAGGACCAAACGAGAGATCCTCCTTCTAAATGAATTAGCTAACGATGAGGAAAATTGCGAATGGTAGAATGGCAGAATAGTGAGTGAGAAGAGAGAGATAGATAGAGGAAACTGATGAAAAAGTATTCTCTTATAAATTTTTAAGTATTAAAGGGAGCTGATACTCTTCAGATTCAGATGATGCGTAGCCACATAGTAATGATGACTCTTTTATTTTTCGCCTGAATCACTGGCAGTTCATGAGAATCCTCATTCAGTGATGCATATGTTTACAATTGAACCTGTTCATCAGTTGATGAGCTCAATTTTTTCGTTTTTCCTATCATCTGACTGTTTCATTCTATTTTTCATTTATTTTTCGTTATATTTTAATGCAATATAATCATCAACCTTGTGCATGCAAAAAGTTGTTGTTGGCGCCATCAACGGTGAGCTTCTGAATTCGACGCTCATGTAATCCTTTCTGTTTTGGCCATAAACTCAACTCTTCAGTTTCTTCCTCTATTCGTTTGCCCCGTTCTGCCTGCTCAAGTCGTTTCTCCTCTCCAAGGTATTGCCTTTTATCCTTCATTGGATAGAACGTGTAGTCCTTCGTCAGGAGCCGGCAGGTTTTCATGTTCCTCATCTTCTGCCTTTACGTCTTCCTTGTTTCGCCATATTAGCGGTAATTGAAATGATTTTGCATCCAAGTTAAGCTTCTTCTTGAACTTCAACTTTGTTAGGCTTAATCAAAATGTCATAAGCCTCAACATCTGGCGAAAATTTGGTTTATTCAAGAATAAGTTGAAGGAATAGTGAGAGTAATGATAGAAGAAACCGTTGGTCTTTAGCTTGTGTTAGCTTCATTCAACACCTTCTTGGGTTTTTCGTGCATCTCCGGCTCCTCTTCTGCCACATACACATCGAGCCTATTTTCGACGTAAACACCTCTTTCTCTTTCTCTTCTTCGTTTCAATTCTTTTTTCTCTCCGTATGTTCATATGTCTCTCTGCCTGTCTGCTCAACTCTCTTCTCGTCATCGTCAACGTTGTCGTTGAAGTCCTCTTCTGCTTCTTTTTCTTTCTCTTCTTCTTTTTCTTCTTTTCTTTCTTGCTGCTTTTTGCTAGCTTCTTCACTGTCATCCTTAAATGGTGCTGGCCATTGGCGCTTCGTCGTCTGCCTGATGTGTGCTAGCACAACGAAATCCACTCTTCACGGGCAGACAACCACTTAGAAGACGCTTATCGGGAAGAAACGACGAACTACCTCTTCAATCCTACCTCTCTGCTTGTCTTTTTGTCTCCTTTTATTTCTTTTCTCATACAGCCCAGGCCGATTGGAGCCGAGCTGCCATTTTCTCACTTCTACTTTTCTCTCTACTAAGCAAAACCTGAACTTCTCTCATCCACAACCAACGGTGCTTTCTTTTGAGCTACTCATCAAGCTCGAAATAGTCATCAGGCTGAAGAATAGATTCAAATTAAATGAGTTTGCAGTTTTGTCTTTTCATTCTTTCTTGGTGTTGTTAGCGGGCAGAGCTTATGGTCATGAACGTCGGTGGAGAATCCCCGTGGGGCAAAACGCCAACTGACCACTCTGTCACTCAGTATATTCCTCCCTCCTTTTCTCTTGTTTCTCTCTTACACTCTTGAGGAGCTACAAAGAGAGTTGAACATACAAAAATTGGATAGAATCGGCTAACCAAGCATGGTCTACCCACGACAATTAAGTAACCTGACCAATGGTTTTCACACGTCTGTTTAGCCTAAATTGACAACTTTAACATGATGAGATGGTTGAAGACGAAAAAGACTGTTGGCTCTCCTCTTCCCATGATAATTGCAAGAGTTAAAACAAAAAATGTTTTTTTTTCTCTCTCTCACTCTCTCTCTCTCTCTCTCTGTTCCGAATTTCATAAGGAATTAGTTTGCAGAAGCTAAATATGTGAAATGAGAGAGAGCAAGAGAGAGAGAGAGAGAGAAAAAGAGTTTATGTTTTCTATTGCGATTTTCATGGATTCATTATAACTCCCCGTCTCTCTTCCGTCGTTACTCATTTTTGGTATTTTCTTCGTCTATTTTAGCCATCATTTTCATTACCATATATGACTAGAATAGATGAGGTTGTTGGATTCACGTACAAATACGGGAAAATGAATGAAAAAGAGTCTCAACGTCCTCTCGCCGAAAGCTGGCAATGGGTTCCGTGTGTATGTGTGTATCGCGGTGTGCTTCATACTGAAAAAGCCTATTCTTTTATTTTCCCTTTTTCTATCATCGTCTTTCTCTCTATCATATGCTCTTTCTCGCTCTTACTATCTCGTTCCACTTTACATCCTTTATGCTGCCTAGCTGTGTGTGTGGCCATCAGCCTTGATTAATTAAAACAAATTTTTTGTTTGACATCTGATTACTCATCCCAGCATTTTCCGGTCATGCCATGAGAATCCAAGCTTTGTCTATGCCATATGTAGATTGCCTGGTAAATGAAGTTGGCTTCGAACTCCCGATAAAACCATTGTTTTTTAAACATTTCAATTTTTCTATTGCCCCTGTTTTGTTCTTTCCAACCTCACCTTCCATATTCTTCCTCTGTTTCCTTTCCCCCCGTTGTTATTGTTTCATTTCCTCTTAATCTTTGTCATTCCTCTTGTCCATGATCACATTCTCTGTTTTATATCCTTTTTTTTCTTCTTCACGTCGAGCCATCAGAAGTAGAGCTGCCAGTGTTGGTGGCCATCGATCGACCATGTGCTACGAGGACAGCCGATCTTACCCCTGCCCTCCGTGGTCCCACCCATCAGGACCTTGAGAAAGCAAAATGGGAGGAGCTAAAGAGGTGGAGCAGCAAGATGATCCACATCCGAGTCTGTTCTCCTTTCTGGTACTCATCTGACCACACGACGATTAGAACATTCTGTCTTTCTTGGGATGATATGTGTGGCAAACATTGAAAACATTTTTAATTAATTGCAAAATTTTCTCAGACTTCCTCTTGTTTTCTTTAATTTTTTTCTTCTTCCTTCTTCTTGTCGTATTCTATCTGCACTTACCAGTAACTGTCCACACGTGTTTGTTATTTTTATTTTATTTTTTTCCTTTTTCTCAAGTTTTTTTTCTCTTTTCTCTCTACATTGTTCTGACAGACTTCGAATACTTGAAAGCTAAGTTGCTATTCTTTTAATAATTTTAATAATGGCACCAAATGAAACAAGTCTATCTTGCCAACCTTCAAACTTGCAAGAGCTCACACAATTATTCTGATGATTGTGGCAACAACGACAACGACGATGACGACGTGCCCTCTCTCTTGAGCCTTAAAAGGACCACACATTCGGATGGACCTCTGATACATACGTGCCATATACGGTAGTGTTTCTTCTGTTTTCTGAAAGCCTCTTTTGCCTATTGTTCTCTTATTATTTGCCAGCTTGTTTTCCTATTCGGTGCCAAAACAAACGAGCTCTGAGGACCAAGAGCTATGGAGGCAGTGGTAGGACAGAGAGCTCTTGATGAAATGTGTTGAAGAATTTACCTCAATTTAATATTTTTTCTCATTTTTACACCTTTGACTCGCTTTATCGTCAACTTTGCATTTATGTCTTTGATTGTACTTTTTCTTCTTCTGTTTTTTATTTGTTTCGTTCTCTTATCGTTTTTTCTTGTGTCATTCCTTCATTCTATTTCACTGCTTAAATTTTGCAGAACACCTGTAGCCGACGGTTTCAATGATGGACACGTCATCGACCGTCAATACGCCCACTTCTGGAGCACGTCCGACGGACGATGAAGCACTCCGAAAATTCAAATGTGAGGAATGTGGCAAAGCTTTCAAGTTCAAACATCATCTGAAGGAACACATCCGAATACATTCAGGAGAGAAACCATTTGAGGTACGTGTTTTCTTAATGCATTTTAAACTATTTTCACCTGTAATTTGCACTTTCGCCTGTTGTCCCCAATCACCAGCTAGTGATGATTTCTTTTCCCACTTTTCCACTTTACCGTTTTGTATTAATAACAAAACTAATTGAACCATCTGGTTGAAGACTCGTAGACCACGTGTTTTTCATTTAACACGTTGCGACTTCGAATTCTGGCATCAATCACCAGCTTCCTCGTTCGAAGAGATGATACCAATGTGAAGCTGTTTGGAGCAATACGCAAACGGTCCTACACTTCACCTGTTAAGTCTATCGTTTGAAAGTATGAGAAGAAGACAAAAAAAATGTCATCGAGCTAAGAATTGAATTTGTAATGAAGCAGCTGATTCCTTGAATAATATCCATCTGCTGCCATCTTCTATTTAGTTGGTTTCTAGACAGTTTTATTGGAAAGTAAGCTCATCATGTGTGAAATGACAGAGCATTTGAAGATTTTTGAACGACAATCTACCTTCTTCCTCCTCATATTTTGTAATTTACTATGATATTCGTAAATGCTCATGTATCTGATCTTCTTTATGCGTTGTTGTGGAAGAACAAGTGGTGCACCTGTTTGAATCTGTCACAAAACGATGTAGTCATTCATCTTCCGCAATCTTACCTGCTGCTCTTCTTCTTTTTAATCTGCAGCTTCACAAAAGTTTTATTCGATTTTATTCTGCTCCTAACGTAATAAACAGTTGAATGGAGCATCCATACCCTCTAAAGGTACTGGCATATGACCGAAGTTGATCGGAGATCGAAAGAAGATTAAAATTCTGCTGCCATCATCTTACTTCTATTGTCCGTCTACTTCCACCTCGAATAGTCGATATTAGGGGCTTTCTTGAACAACTTTCGCTCGTTTTATAGCCAGTATTGATGGTGTGCTCGTCATCGTTTAAGAATAACTTATGAACATTTACCAATGAAAACAGCTGTTACCACCTTAACTTTACATTTTGTCTTCTACTTCTCAAACGACGTTAGATTGAATTTATAGTTTGAGAATGAAAACACTTGTACTCTGGTCTCAAACCTACATAAGTTTCTTCAAAAATGCATCGAAATCTCAGGTCGTATTAGGACGGAAACTTAATGAACTTTTCTATTGCTTTCCGAAGCTTAGCTTCTTCTTCTTTCAATTCCCACGACGAAACTGCAACAGCTCAAGCAGATTGTCCTTAAGCCATCGGCAATGTGATATCCTTGCACTTTAATCCAAGGCGACTGCTCTCCTGATGTTGGTGGCATCGTCTGCTTCTTGAATACGTATCATCTGGCTAATATGACTATATATGGTGTAAATTGATCCTTCAAATGTCAGCGATTGCGAAAATGAAGATGATGTTCTGAGAAAATAGTTTATTGATATCCCACTGTGTACAGGTGAAGTATAGCAGTACTTTAACTAAGAACAATATCTATCATATTCAACAGAACGGCTTCTTGTCAGATGACAGATACCAACAGACGTTTTCCCATGTCAAATTTTGACCGTCTGTTTGTTGTTATGAAATCGTCATAGTTTTCATTCTATAAATGGATCATATCTGTAGGTATGATGAATAGCCCCATATAGTCTCATTCGCCTCGTTTGCCAGCCAGAGAGGTTTAGAATTGTCCCATAAATTGCGTAATCATCACGCCTAGTTGTCTTAAAGCTCTACTTTCTTTTTTTCTCTCTCTCTTTCTCTCTTTCTCTCTCTAGTTTGCCAACTCTTATGACCAATTATACTCTCCTTATAAAGATGTCCACCTAAATGAATGATCAGTTTCATCTATAAGGAATAAGAAGAACTGTGAGAAAGAGAGATTAGAGAGAGAAAAAATAGCAAAAAGAGACACCATACCATCTGGTTTTGAAGGTGATGTAGTCACCGTTAGTTTTGGCAGTGACGGATTGAAAAATCTGCCAAAACTCCGACAAAAGGATTTGTCGGATTGTTCTCCATTTATTGTTATTGATTACAAAAGTCAATATAAAAAGAAGAGCAAATGATTGTGCTAATGTAGCGTAACAGATTGAAGTGAGAAAATGAGGAAAAAAGAGACGACGAGCCACACTTTTGTGACAAATAATGCGATTCTTGAGGCATTTTCCTCCTTTTTTTTTGCAAAAGGACAATAAAGCTCAGGTTTATGGCTATTTTTGTTTTTCACCAAACTCTGATCGATTGATTCACCTCTCTCATTATTAATTGAAAATGTATTTTTCTCATTCTATTTCCATAACCTCAACTTACTCATTCATCCTCTCGTTTCTCGTCTTCTCCTTCGATAACACAAGTGAATCCCCTTTAACAAACTATTTTTTTCTTCTTATTCCTTATTTTCAAATATATATTGGCATTGCCATACTCACGTATATCTCATCTTTATCTATGTTTTGTTTGAAACGATTATTTGTCAGATTTTATAATCATCCGTTAAATCTGCCAAATAAGGTGTTTGATGAGGTGCAATGTATACATATATATATATATATTTGAATATATAAGAAATATAAATGTAAACTATTGGAAAGCTTTGTTTGTTGAAAAATCAATAGACGGAAGGCTTGTGGCTAGAGAGATAAAGTAGATTTATATCTTTGCCATATATCTATGAAATGTAATAATTCCATTATTGGGTAAATTGAGCTAATGAATCTATAAGATTTGAGATTAGTAATTGAAATACATTTTTATAAATCTCAAAACCTTTCTATAACGAGAAAAGACAGCTTAGTTGATGTTCTCTTATCTAACCTTGTCTGTGTGCAAGTGTCATCTCCCATGAGACAATTTGGTTTCTGCTCTGCTCTAAGTGAAACGTGTATTACTCTTACAATTATAAAAGCTAATTTGTACATCATATTCATGTTGCTGCATCTTTCGATTATAATCAAATCTGAGTTTCTATTCTGATTGAATTGAAATTAGTCTTATACCTGCGTTATAATTATATTACCGTACACCTGTCTGACTTATTTGCTTTTGCTATTACCGTATGCCGACGCTCTTCTTATTGGCTATGCTCAGGTATCGAATTCATTCAGGTGTAAATAGAGAGTGTTGTAGACCTTTGCTATTGGCTGAGAAGCTTTTCTCTGTCTTTGGCCGTCACATTGAGTGAGATATAGCAGGTTCTCTCTATTTTACATGCTCTTTCAAATTTTTCATCTGCATGAGACCCTTTTTCTCTGGATGGGAGCTATTATACCACACAGGCATATACACATTCATATATAAGCCATATATTTTTGAAGAAAAACATGTAAGATGTACCTTCATAGTCATAATAGAATCTTTGATCAATTTCTGAAACTGAATAGAAGTTTAAAATGAAAACTGAAATTGATGAATAGCCTTAATGTCAATTCCTTTTTTGGTAATTGAAATGATATTTCACACACCGTTGAACGCTTAGATAGTTTTAATGAAAACTGGAGTTAAGATATTAAAAGTTGAATTAGTAATTATATTAAAGTGAAATCTCATTATGAATAAGAACATATTACGTTTTAATGAAATATTTCCTTTCTATTCTTTCCCGCTCAATATAATTCCATGTCTTTTCAAAGTTCTTCTCATTTCTTCTCCAAATGGAAAAGAAGTTCCCTGAGCACCACGTACGTGGGCATTCTTGACAGCACGGCAAAGCAGACGCCTCGCGTTGCGGTCTCACGGATTATGAATTCACCGGGCCTAGAGGAGCAGGAAAGGAAAAGGAGAAAGAGGAAACGAAGAGAGCAGGGTTGGCAGGAGAAAGAAAGCGAAGACGAACTGAATGAAGCGGGGGGGGGAGCGCCAGAGGCAGCTGCCGACGACGAGACAAACCTGCGCTTCCATGAATTAATGAATGCCTGAGGCAAGCAGGCTTGGCTCACGGGCTAGTCAGGGACCTACATTTTTGGCCATTTTCGAGAATTCGAAAGGAAGATAGGTTATGGGCTTATAGTTAAACCATTTGAAAAACGATGAAGGATTTCGCTTGTAGTTTTTTCCGCATAATTTTCATTGCATTCTGTCTTCTAGTTAAGTGGTGGCTAAAGATTAATGTATGGTACCCAAATGAATATACAGATATGTGAATCGGTTGAAGATTAAATGCTCCCTGAGGCAATATTGAATCCATTTATCAACGAAGCTCAGGAGAAGAAAAGCACAAATAGATATACAAATAACGAAAATCAATCAGAGTGCGATGCTGCTCTTCCCCAAATGTGGAAAGGTGAAATTCCATCTTCAAGCTGGATTTCAAAGCTTTTAGAGAAACCGATTTTTTCTTTCCAACCTTACCGGAAAAGCGGGTAGAAGCATCATATTCTCTATTCATGGCACAGTTAGAATGATACATTCCTCACTAGATCTCCCTTACACTTTCTTCCACATTTCTAAACTTCATTCTCATGTTTTATTCTATTTCTCGTCTAATAATTGTTTTTTTTTCAGTGTCCTTCATGTCACAAGCGGTTCTCCCATTCTGGTTCCTATAGTTCCCATATGAGTAGTAAGAAATGTGTACAGCAGGTAAGGAATACGATACTTTAGTCCCATAAAGCTTTGACTCCTCCCCTTTTCACCTGGTATATGGTGGCAGTCTGAGCTAGGTCAGGTAGACCACACCCACCATCTTAATCCGCAGAGCCAGATGACCCTAATGACATTCTATCATTTTCAGTCATCTTCGAACATGCTGCCACAGATGAATGCCTACCAGATGATGTTCTACCGCAATCTATTAATGCAGTTACAGTCAGCCTCTATTCCTGCAAGCCCTACTCCCACCGTTCCATCATTGGATGCTAATGCTTATTTAACACTTCTCCATAGTAATATGCTACAAGGGGTATGTTTTTTTACATCTTTGTTACTTTGATTTTATACACCTTGTGATCCCATCTTTTATCATCTCTGAAACTTCTTTGACCTTCTCTTCCTTATTTGGCTTTTTGATATTCTCCAACACAAACAAAAACATCCAAATGGACATGTTTTATGCTTTGCTTGACGGCATCTGATTGAAGCTTAGTATGGAAAATTGTCTGGAATGACTCGCAACTGATCGTCTTCTTCTTCATTTTGTATAATTTGATGTATTTGAATGTACTTTAATTGCGAGCATGAATGGATACTGAGATAAAAGTCATTCCGGTACATGTTCAGAGGAGAGGAACGAGAGCAAAAGGTCTTTTCCTCAGGCAATGAAGGCTATCTCTCTGGAACTCGGTTTGAGGAGTTCATGTTTCTTTCTCTTTTATTTTCTCTCTGTTTTCATAATCTCTCACTGATACTATAGCTTCAACTCTCTCCCTCTCTCTTTCTCTCTCTCTCTTCATACCTCTCTCCCTCTTTCTCTCTCTCTCTCTTTGTCATTTCCCCTGCTCATTGTCTTCCTTCTGGCAGACTATTAATTAGGAGAAGAAGGTGGCGCCAATCGAATGAAGCCACGTAATTGGACGACGGACAGGGAGACACGAAGTATCAGTCGGGTGCTGCACAACGATCACCGGAGAGAGAAGAAGAAGAGTCGAATGATGTGCAATAGTTGGGAATAAGCTCGAAATAGAATGGAAATGTAAGAGAGAGAACGACGACATGGACGTTCTCTTGCTCTCTCTTTCAGTTTCCATTCCATATATAGGCCACAACAGCGTGTCTCGTGCACACACTCGCTCACACCCAACTGCACATCTGAGCGTTTGTGATCAGAATAGAAGCTTCCGACAACCAGGTTCAGCAGGGACCCAACATTTATTTTCAAGAAAAGTCAGACGAAATGCAAATTGACGAAGATTTCAAAAAGAGCGAAATGTGCTATTAAACAAAAAGGAAGAATCTGCTTAATAATCTGATTGAAGTGGAAGGTTTTGGGTTAAGAGGGTGACGAGAGATCAAGTCAAATGTACAGATTGAAGAAGAGAGAGTAAGAGAAAGGAAGACTAAAAGATAAAAGGAATGGATTGAGATGAAAACAACCGTTTCTCTATAGTTTATAAGTAAGAATAAAAGGATACAAAAAATTAAAGAAAGTGTCATATAATCGGACATATAAATATCCTATTGTTCTCATTTTCATCATAAAAAACTTTCTCCTATTTCTTAGTTTAAGTGACCCCCCCCCCCTCTCTCCCCCCACTACCACCCATCCTTCTTCCAAATAACAGAAAGTTGTAAATGATCTTTACTTGTTATCAATCAACTTTCTATTTCTGATAATTAAACTAATTTCTTTTCTTTTTTTTCTTTCATTTTCTCCTTTTTTGCAGTTGTGTGACATCCAGCGAACACCTTCTCCTACATCTTCTCCAGCTTCTCTTTTATCCAATCAAATGACGTTAAGCGTCAAGTCTTCCGAAGCCAGTCCATCAGCTAACTCGTGCATCACAGAGCCTGAAAAGCCTAAAACACCACAAATTAAGGAAGAACTGATTGAGGTATTTACTTTTTTTCTCTCTCTTAAAGTTTTCAAATCTATCTCTTCTAGGATAAACTTGACACAACCACCACAACTTCTTCGTCAGCAACAAGTCCATCACCAGCTATGAATGTTAACGAGTCTGAATCTGATTCCAATAAAGAAGATGGATGGAGACCACTTCGTTCAAGAAGTTTCTTAACTGATTCTCAGGTGCGTTTTGAACTACCGTAAGATATGTGAGTGAGAGTAAGGTGTTTTTGAACTTGTTTTGTTATGGAATTTGTGATGTTGAGTCGTTGTGCTCTCCTTCTCTCTCTCCTTCCTCTTCTTTTACTTTCCTTTACTGACATGATGAGTATTTGAAATGAAAAAGGCAATCAGTAAAATACGAGAGAGAGAGAGAGAAAAGTGAGAAAGAGAGAGAGAGACAGGGAGAAAGAAAAAGAAAGAGCAGGAAAAAGATTTGATCGGAAAAGCCTCTGAGACAATTAGTTTTTATAGGTAGCCATTCTCCATACACATTTCAAACGTAATCCATTCCCATCCAAATACGAGCTGTCTGCTGTAGCTGAGCAGATCGGGGTCAACAAGCGAGTTGTGCAGGTAAACAAGTCGTTTTTCTTCTCACCAAGTTTTCCGCACATCTTCCGAAAAGATTTTTCTTTAAAATAAGAAAGAAGTAAAAAAATTGTCTCAACAATATGAAGATGAAGCATTTGGATGTTATGCAAAGGTTGAATCAGCTTTTTGTACTTTTCCTAACTTCAATCACACACAAAAAATATTTTGAAAAACCCTACTCAGAGAACAACAATGAAATGAACTGGCATCTGCTACTTATCAAGCCTAATACAAACCTCAAATTGCTCTGTTTCATTTCATTTTTGTACTTTTTACTTGTTTGAACCTAAACTTCCCCTCCCACTTTCTTTCCTGCCCTCTTCACCTTTCAAACATGTTTTCCATTGAGAGCTCGATGGAAAAGTTGCTTGAAAGATGGATAAGCTTCAAGCATCCTTTTTTCATATCTCATTCTTGTTGTTTATAGGTTTGGTTCCAAAACACTCGTGCAAAAGAAAGACGTAGCAATCGTCTGCCAATTCCTAGTCGTTGGATAAATTCAGCTTCTGGTGTTACCTCATCTGCCACTACGCCACCAATTCTCTCTCCAAGCTTAACTATGCCATCTCCTAACAGCTTAAGTTCAGCTTTAACAGCTCCAACAGCTGCACAGATCATGGCCGTATGGGCACAGCAATGCGCAGCCGTTGCTTCACAGGTTAGCTCATGTTTTACTCGAAAACGATATAGAACGATATGTTGAGAGAGCATTCGAGAGAAAGATGGTCTGTTGTGTACTTAAGATTATATTAGAAACCAGATGATTGAGAAAGATAATCTGAATTGTCTAATCTCGTTTAGACGATTTATTTCCTTACAAGCAGATGGTTCATGATTAGACTTGAAGCTTATTATGGCATAATATCCTTGATTATCACACCTTCTGTTTCACCTCTTGAGATTATGCTTAATCCATAATAGGATAAACGTTGGAATGCTCTCATCGTATTGTGCAGATTACGTATAATTTGCTTACTCATATACTAGAGACATTGCCGTCCTTCTCTCTTTACATAATAAGTAACCGTCCTTCTGAGCCACTTGAAACTCCATAAATGGGGTTCAGGTGCTGGTCGTCTAATTCACAGACAATCTTATTACTCAGCACCTTCTGAACATCCATCTCTCTCATCTTCCTTTCTTTACTTGAAATTTTCATTGTGTTAGTTGTGATTGTAGCAGATGGGGACTCTTTCCTTTTCTAATTGGACCAATTCACAGCAGTAGTCCTTATGCCGTCTGAAGAGGTTACTTTCATACAGCTTATGCAGCTTGTGCGAGTATGAATTGAATGTTCCCAAGTGAAGCTGATGATTTTGAGATCAAATTCAACAAAAATGATAAAAATAAGAAAAGAAATGAAATAACTGAATCTAAAGATGTATTATAACATATTTACATTAGATAATAGCCCTCTAAATTACATATATTGTAATCTAATTACTATATTTCTTAAGAAATTATACAGGTGTCACTTGGCATTTTTATTTTATTTTTTATTCATTCTTAAATACATGAGGTCAATTAGGTTATAACCCTTAGATAGCATTCGTTTATTATTCTTCATATACGAGATGACAGAGATATATAAAAGAAAATTAGGCACCGTCTGGCGCTTCAATTCCACCAGCCTGATGGTCCCATATCTTCTTCTTCTTCTTCTTCTCCTTGTAATTCTTGTGTCTCATTTTCTTTCACCTGCAGATTAGATATCTATTGTCTTTTATAGATAATAGAGCTATAACTATCTATATATGTATAGTTAATGAAGAATATAAAGAGAATAGGTTGTCACACAGAAAGAATAGAATGAAGGAAGGAAGGAAGATGTAACATCTTTCTCTATCTCTCTCAATCTCTCATTCTCTTTCGTTCCATCTTTCCTTAATTATATTGTCTTTCTTCTTTATGAAGATTGTTATAACTCGAAAGCGGAAATGAAATTGGTGAGGGATTCAGGTTTTCTCTCTCTCTATCTTCAAAAATGCTCTTTTACTATAATCCAAAAAAAGGAATGATAGACGATTGATGTAGTTGAAACAGTTGAATAAAAAAAGCAAAAAGTCCTCATTTTTCTTCCTTTTTTGACAATAATTTACATAAACTATGACTCTCTAGGGAGATATGAAGATGTTCGTTTCTTTATATGATACTTTTTGTAGGATGAAATCAAAGAAGATTCTCCCGAAAAAAGCGAAAGCCCTTCGTTAGAGCTTACTAAGGAGGAAACTGAGCCTGAATGGATTCCCGAGAACTTATTAGGTAAATACTTTGCTTTCCTTGTTGTATAATCGTTTTGAAATTTTTTTAGGATTCATGGATCGAAGCACAACTTCACTTCAACAACTCTTAGCTCAAGTATCAGAAGCAGCCTCAGCTGCTGCTCCGACAACACCAACAGCTTCGGAATCGAAAAACGATTCGTCGGTCAGCTCTTCCATTTGGCCATCTGCGAATGTATTTCTGAACCAATACAACATTTTACAAATGAATGGATTATCGGACTTAGAGAAAGTTTTAACGGTGAGTATAGCTTAGAGTCAAGTCCAAAGAGAGAAAGTGATGTGATGAGGATGAAATGGAGAGTTCAACGGGTCAACAAGAGCTTCGAGAAAAGATCATAAATAAAAGGGTTTGTATCGTCCAAGGTGGTCATAAAATTTGAAATTGATCATCCAGTACTGACACTGACGACTGAAGTTGAGAAAGATTAAGAGGAAGAGAAAAAAAGATAAATGGTCGTCAATACAATCAATTGAAGAACTAAAACTGTCGACAAAACTAAGATGAAGTGAACGATTTCATTTATTATGTCGTTTGTTCATTACAATTGAAGACTATTTATGATATCTTTACCGTTTGAATTAGTCAGAAGACAGATGTACTTTCAAGCTTCTTTATTCTTCCGTAATTTACATATATGGCCATGACGTCATTTTGTTCATTTTCAGCAAACACAAAATACCAAGAGTGAAGATGGAGATGAAACAACTAGCTTAGCTTCAAATGATTCTAAACGTAATAATTGGAAAGCGCACAAAGTGAGTTTCCTATTCATTCGCATACTGTCACTGTCATAGTCGGATCTCTTAAACGTTTAACAAATTATCTTTTTAGGTCGAAGAAGAAGGTCTTTATGCTTGCGATCAATGCGATAAAATGTTTGGAAAACAAAGTTCTCTAGCCAGACATAAGTATGAACATTCAGGTAATTTTTGATTTCTCTTGAAATATAACCATCTGGATCACTCGACTCGGGTCATTGAGACTCCTCCTGTCGTTTTTATTCCACTTTTTTTTGTCATGTTTAATTGGCTTATCTCAAGAGGTTTGTCATCTGGGAACAATCATCTCATACCTTTTGACATTCAAAAATGAATTTTAGTTTTAAAGGGAGCAAATATAAGTTTTTTTCATTTTCAGGTCAAAGACCATATAAATGCGATGTATGTGACAAAGCTTTTAAGCACAAACATCATTTGACTGAACATAAACGTCTTCATTCAGGAGAAAAGCCATTCCAGGTTTGTCAATCAAAAGTTGTAGAAAACATATTTTTTTTCTTTTTTTCAGTGTGATAAATGCTTAAAACGCTTCAGCCACTCAGGAAGTTATAGTCAACATATGAATCATCGCTATTCATATTGTAAACCATATAGAGAGGGAACTATCGCTTCTCCTGATTCTTTAGAATCACAAGCACCTTCTTCAGATGGAAATAGCTCGCCATGTCCATTACCTATTTCTGTACCATTAATGTCTAATTTTTCTTTAAACCTCCATTCACCAAGCTCAGCCAGTTTAGTCAGTCCATCCCCAGTTTAGAGATCAATTCATAATAATAACAGTAACCATTAATTAATTAACTTCTTTCATACTTCACTTCCTCTCAAACATCCATTCATCAGTAGCAATCTTCCTTCTCTTGGATCTCATTGATTTGCAACATATTCACTCCAAGCTATCCATTATTCTTGCCATGATCGCTTAGAAACTCAATTCCTCCTTCCATTCATTCAGTTGCCAAGTTTTATATGCAGCATTTGGTTTTCACCTACTTGTTTTGCATTTGTTTTTTTTTGAAGTTTCTATAAGCTCAAACTGCGTTTGACCTACGCTTACTTACACTTGCCTTCATTAACTGCCAGCTGATATATTGGTGCTCTGTTGTACATACAGTTAGACCTTTAAAGTTATCATACTCCTTGAAAACCAAGTCACAAGTCACTTCTATTTCTTGTCATTTTATTTTATAAGAAATGTTTCATTCAGGTTAGGCCTTGTTAATGGCATTGAATGAACACCTACCATAGCTTCCAATTTGTTTGCCGGTGTTTAATCGCTATTTTGTAATATTCGTGTGTTTGTAATAAGTTGAAAATCTCAATTATTCGCTTCTCAAGTTCATTTTCCCCTCCTTTTTTTTCCGAATTGTACATTAGGTTGTATCACTTGGATCGTTTCCCTTCTTTTTCTTTTTTTTTTTTTACTTTTTTCTCCTGATTGTTAATCACATTCAGTTAGTCCAGTTTTATTGGACATCGCTTAATTCTGGTAACAGGTGTAATCCGAGATATGCTTTAATTCCCACAAACAAAAAAAGAATTATTTATTCATAAACTAGAGCAATGTTGTATGTTTGCGCTTGTTTTGTTTTTTCTTAACCTAGTCGCTTATGAAGTTGGTTTGCTTTCAAATGATTTTCGTTTTTCTTACAAACAAACATAAGTATAGTAGAGAATTCCTCTGATCATTCAATTCCTTAAACTACGGATTTCAATGAACGACCAACTGTTTTATGCACTGCAAATAATATTTATTGCACTTCACTCTTTTCAATCTTGTATGTCGTGTATACCAATACTATGACCAATAAAGCTAATTTAACTTTCATATTACGTTTACTTGTTGTTATGAACAACGAAAGCCGCACTGAATTTTTTGTCTCAACTTACCAGCTCTTGAAAATCTTCAAATAAGACTGTGAAGAAAATAGACAGATGGCTTTGTCATCATAAGGTGATTGCTTTCCTTGTTCATTTTCTTTTCTTATACACAGATGGTCCTTTGATTGATCTGCACAGCAGGATATATTTTGCTGAAAGATGTATTTCAACTAAGTGTTCTATTGAATGTGTTCTGAGCTAGTTACGCTGTCCCGATTTTCCTGAAAAATATAATTCCGGTGAAATTAATAAGGAGCTAAATCGCTCAACAGGACATTTATTGCTGTAGTCACATTCTATGTTCTCGCTGTTTTGATCACTTATGATTCCAGTTTGATGTGGTTTATCGCTAGCATCTATAATGCGAGGTTAGAGCACATGGTAAGAATAAGTCACAGTAACAAAGCTTTTAAAATGCTGTTAGCAATGTGTCATTGATAGAGCGACTTTAAAAATTTTTTGATAAAAGCTCAGGTTAATGTTCTCCATTTTCTTCATACAAGCAATCAGTGCCTGCAGACATATATGTATGTTGAAGTAAGGTCTGTACTTTGACCATTATCCTAAGAGGTAGAGCCGTGAAATATAAAATAGAGTTCAAATTACTGCTCTTTGTTACAAAAAAATGTTCCTTTACGGCTCGAATGTGTTAGAAATAATTACCCGTTTTCACGTTTCACTACTTTTTTTTTTAATCCTATTTGTGTTCTTTGATACTTTTAACTTTGAGTGACTAAGAATATGATCAAAGAGATTATTTAAAAGTTTTTGTTCGTTTTGTAAGTTTTCTTAGTTGAAACACACTGCTCGAAGCTACCATAGAAGAGCTGTGTTTTATTCCATGATCTCAGCTGTGGAAGTTTGCAAGTTCATTAATCGTGTTGGTCGTCCAACCGGAAAAAAAAACTAACTTTAATGAATAATTAAAGAAAGATATGCTATTCAACCAAAAAATAAGAACTGATCGAGTTGAATGCTTGGGTTTTTCGAAGCGAGAAAATTATGAATTTTTTTAATAACCAACACCGCTCACAGTGCTTTTCACGTGAAAAATGAGACACCCCTCACAGCGTTTTTCACGTGAAAAATGAAACACCGCTCACACCGTTCTTAAGTGAAAAATGAAACACCGCTCACAGTGCTTTGAACGTGAAAAATGAAACACCGCTCACAGTGCGCCTTACTTGTGGGATGGAGCGCCGTACTTCACCGTAACGCAACGTGTGCCAACATCGGAATATTATATGAAACATTCCGCAATGAACAAGAAGCTCTGACTTACTTAGGTTCTCCGTATGCAAAAGATGAAATAGAAAATGAATTACAAGAGTTGGTTTGTAGTCTGAACTGTAGTCTCGACAGATGAGTTGAACAACTAACGGATGTCACAATTGATTTTTTGTGTTCCCTGTTCGTTGTTTTTCGTAAAATCATCCAAATGGACTGCGTATCTCACCCTTCGTGTTCCTTTAACGAACTTCAATTATTAATTATTTAATTTCAAATTCTTTCGTTTCTAGCTGATGATGTAGATTCATACTTAGGCTTGTAAGATAGGAGATA